AGCTTCCATCGAGAATGTTTCTATGCCCGAAACTTTCTTCGAGTTCTTGTTACCTTGACGTCTTTCAGTCACTATCTGAATTGTCTCCACCTATGAACAACTGATTCACTTCCTCTAGTCACAATGTGGTGGCCTTGCATCCGGCTTACAAATGTGGATCCTAAATCTTTTTTATGAATCTCAGTCGGGTAAGTTGATCCTTTCTTAACAGCTCCCTTGAACAAAGCATCACATAACATTGGATCTAGAACTAGAATGGACTTATTCATTGGTTTTACCAGATTTCCCTTTTCAACGTACTTGAGGACAACATCAGAGGCTTCTGAAGCACCACTGTATAGCTTTCCAGTATCACCTCCAACAGAAGCAAAAATGGGACGCACATGTACACTTGGCTTATAAATCTCAAAAACTTCAAGAGTTTTGACGACCAGGTTTCTTTAACAGCCTGATCACCATCCTGATCAACCTTCTGCTCCTGCCTTCTCTCTGATTGAAGGATAAGTAGTCTAGGTGACTGCTGTTCACAGAAAATAAGACAGACAGTTATATTCTTATATTTGTCTTCTTTTACCAAAAACTGTTCACAGAAAACAACCGTTGTGATCTCAACATTAAGCATATAAATCTATTCAACACATGGGCGACTTAACACAAATAAGATTGAGTATATAAAAAAAAATACAATATGAAAATAAAAACTTCCATCTGCAAATGCTGCCTCGATAACCCGTTTCCTCCATTTGTGTTGATTAAATCGCCATAAGGAAAGACATGTAGACACAGTTGAAACCTCCTTACGAATGGTTTTTTTCTTTCATCCATAATCATACAAATCTTCACTGACCAGAAAAGGCCAAGCGGACATGAACGCAAAATCCATCACCACTTTCACTGTGATTGATTGGCGAAATATTAATTACATTTGTATAACCACTTATGCTTGTCATCACCATCAAAATTAAGAAAGTCTCTTTTGGGTTTGTGTACCTTGTAAGGGAAGTAGCTACCATCACAAGCTTCATCTGGTCTTGTAGCAGAATCCTCTTTGCTAAATGCTTGATAATCACTGTTAGTACTAGGCTCACCTCACCAGGAGTATGTTGCAACTTCTATAGAAGAGCGTTTTTGTTGGTGAGATAACCCACTGACGAGTTCTTTGAGTTCCACAGACTTAGCTAGCTTCATGAATAAACTTAGTAACTTCCAGTGATTTCAGAACTTGCTCATATTTCTATGACTGCTCCTTATTTGCAGCTTCCAATGATTCCTCCAGTCTTCTAAGATCTTGCGATCAGGAGCCATAGCTTGCATCCGAAGATCAGTGGCTCTGATACCACTTCGTGCAAGCAACAATGTAATGGAATCAACCTAAGTAAAATCTAGGAGTGACTGAAATGAAAGACTGTATTTGGTAATGTCCTGCAACGGTGGTCTCACAGAAATCAGGTAAAAGGAGAAGAAAGAGAGAGAGAGAAGGAGAGAGGAAGAGAGAGATTGCACTGATAATTCATCATTCTTTAATCAATGCATAATCGTCCATTGTAGAAGTAAATAAGAAAGAAAGGAAACCAGTCTTCTTGCCACACCACGAGATTACTATAAACTGTAACATTAAGGTAAACGGTTCGTAGTGATCAAACTAAACAGTGCGCTTTATTTAGTAAAGTGTAATTACCGTCATCATCTTCTTCTTCTCTTGACAAATTCAGTGTGTTTCCATATTTAAACTCCTGACACATTGCCTTCTTAAACATTTTCCTTTTGTTTTAATTAAAAATAATAAAAATAAAAATAATAATTATGGGGGGAGAAGGAAGGGGAATGTGTTTAGAAACAGGGTGATTTTGAGTGTGCTGTGCTTGCTAAGAAGTATAAGGTTCTGGAAGAGCAGCAGTCAGGCAGTGCTTGGAAAAGAAAGCAGCTATTCAATGAAATATACCATGAAGAAATATGAGCAGTACATGTAATGAAGGACACAAAAAAAGATGAGTATCTTGAAATGATTTCTGTCATCTCACAGTTACTGTAAAGTATCCTATTCCACATGTAACAATGGTACATTGCAGAGAATTTGATTCTCAAGAAGAATTAGGGAACCAAAGGAAAGGTCTTTCCTCTTGTTTTAAAAGCAGGAAATCAAAACAAGAGCTAATCATCAAAGGCCTAATTCGTTATAAGAAGAAAATATATTTTGAAGAAATTGGTTCAGCATGTTCCTATCACCCGGTAAAAAGTTTCATTTATCTTTTTCCTTAAAAGGCGCCATTTTTATTGCAGAGTTCTTACTTTGGAGGAGGAGGAGGAGGTCTTTACATACTGATACATCCATACCTGGCTAAACAGCTTAATCAGGGATTGTTCTCAAGTATATCTCAGATTCCTCTTGCAGTCAATATAATCACGTTAGGGAATAAAAAATTCGTCATCCACAGATCATTCAAAAGATTTTCGACTGTTTTTCAGAAATTGTAATCATGGGATATTCTATAATCAATGAACACAATTAGCATCTACATGATTGTCCTCATTAACGTTTGTTAATTATCTGGGACGACAAGCTTGTTTACAATCTAGCTAAATAAAAAATATATTTTTCTTAGTTAAGATAATTTATAGTATAACAATAGTATATGAAAAAAGAAAATATGTGTAAAACTAAACACAAATAGTATAAAAATGCTACAATATTTCTTCCTTATAAAAAATAAATGTAAATTTTCTTAAACAAATGAAAAAAAATCATAAATATAGTAACAGAACCTCAGGCTTCATATTTACCCAAAGCTCGTTCCTTGATAAATAATTCTTTAGACATTTTATTCATTTATAAATATGAGAAGATGCCTTGACTGATCACATTCACTCCCTGTCAATTATTTTATTGCATACAAGCCATAACACTAGAAAAGTAAACAGCGGATGCATATGCTCTCAGTTCGACTTGGTAATTTTGCAAAATCTTCAAATGTTTTCTCGGATTTAATCTATGTTATTTTTTATTAATATGACTGTCGAAATTAGTTTACAGACATCTTAATTAATCCTATAAATTCTAAAATTAATAACTATATAATTCTCTAATAATAATCATATTAACAAATATATTACTCAAATCTAAAATCACATAAAAAACAAATCTTTTATTACCAGGTTATTAGTACTGAACCACCACCTACACCTATTTTAATTAAATCTGGCTTGTTCATAGGGTTTTCATTTTGATTTTATTGAATTGGGGTGTCTGGTGAGCTTAACTTTGGGCTGAAATTTTAAAATGAATAACCTGTTGTAAGTAGTGCTGTTAATTTGGGCTTGTAGGCCTATATTTCTTATTTTGTTAATAAGAAAAGTTAAAAATATATTCATACAGTAACAATTAAGAAAAACAAGATCCATGAAAGTGGGAATTTAGTTCTGATTGAACAGCTTTAGAAGCAAATTACTTGGAGAAAAAAAAATTAGACAAAAAGAAAAGAAAAAGGTCAGGAAATTTGCATCATATTTGAAAGAATTATTTTTTTAATACATGATGAAAATATGGGGTGAAATGTTACATAAATATCAATTATTTGTGTTAATAGTTTTTATCTTAAAATTTATTTTCAAAAACTTTTCCATAGTTTTTTTTTTTTTTTCAAACTATCCAACATTGGTAATTTAATGGGAAAACATGAACTCATTTGTAAGAAAACATTAAAGAACATGATAAATAAAAACGAGAATTCATAATATGATGTAGTTAACTCTAAATGATTGTATAGTAATTAAGGAGATATGATCTCTCTTTCTCTCTCTTTATTTGTTTTTTGTAAGTTCAAATCTAAAACCAACATTCAAAGAAATATAATCAATTCATCTAATACGGATAAATATAAGAGTTAAAATCTTTTGAATATAAAATTTATTTTGTTTGATACACTAGCAAACCTACAAGTATCATACATATGCTAAAAAAAAAGGTGTTTTCATGTAAAAATAATATTATTGCAAATTTTATCATTTTATTTTACTGTAGCAATGTCAATCTTTTTTTTTATTAGAAATTGTTTTTTCTTATATTTTGTTTTCTCTTTATACTTGAGATTTTTATCATTTTACAATTGACCTATTTATCATCTTTTTTTTTTCTTTTTATTTTTTATTTTTTATATTTTTTCTTTATATATTTTTTTGGAAACAAAATATTTTTTTCTTACACTTTGAATATTTATCACTCTACACTTGGCCTCTATATACCATTTTTTTAAATTCTTATCTTTATTCTTTTGTAATTTATTTTTTAATTCTTTTTGTTTACATTTTTTTTTTAAATTATTCTACAAAGACTAAATTAAGAAATAGTATTTCATTATATCAATTTCAACATTATTCTATTTTTTTGTTATGTTTAAAATTAGCTTGAATTCTTACATGTTTTATTAATATATATGATTTTTATTCTATTTTATTATATATAAATATTGACTTTTTGATTTATAGTTATATTTATTTATTAGATATTAGAAAATATATTAATAATGTCTATATATTAATTATTTTGTATTAGAAAAAAAATTATACTTGCAACGAGGCGAGTTGAATAAACATTTCAAGAGTTTATTTTTTTGGCACAAATTGTTCTTGTACGTGATTAAGTGTGATTAAGTGCATGTATAAGCCTTTTGATTTATAATTAGAATTAAAATTGTTTTTAAAAACCTTGCATAATTATTTTGTTTTTTAATTATTTAACCCGGTGAATCGCCTATTCTTTGAAATATACAAAACCAAAATTATTAAGTTAATGCTACTGAATTAGAGCATGGGTGGATTTGAAGTTTGTTTATTTCACTAGCAGGCCCTTGAAAAGATCTGATTACGATTAAACACAGCTAAATGATCCTAGAATTGCTAAATTATGTAAACAACGAGACCTAAGCTCTCAAAACAACAATACAAATCTTTGTTCTTGTGGGCATTTATTACATGGAGTATTTTCTTAAATACTTTCTTACACATCAGTAGATGAGGGTCATTTGCTGGACGTTAATTGGGTAACAATCCCTTTGGGAGCCATTAAAGGCTCGCTGGGCTAGAATGACATTGACTGCCTCCGTTGGATGGAAGGCATCCCAAAAGACGTAGGCATTTCGGTTCGTGCAAGGAAGCACCCACGGAAGACAAGTTATTTGGCCTTGGTTCCTACCAATCCCACAGCAACCTTTATCCACAACACTGAATCCTGAAATTATAAACATCCTCATTGATTCAGCGTAAGTAAAACCTTGTAACTTGAAACCATGGCCAGCTAGCGCTTTGTTTCAAATTTCAGTAAACGAAAAGAAATTCTGAAGCATGTAGCTTTTCTTACCATAAGTACCAGGGTTATTTAGGATGTCACCAACTGAACCGTAACTATTTCCATATACGAACATTGCACCAGGATGTTTGTTCAGTTGATCAACGAGTGATCTCAGACCTTCATTGAAGGTTCCAAGTATTTGATTTACATAATCAACACATCTATCTGGGGGAGCAGAGGCTCTTTGGTTAGGTATGCAACCAAGAGGCCCGATTCCTGGTAGCAGGAATTTCCTTAGTCCTAGATTATATAGTGCCTGCAACAGTACAAAATTCTCGACTAAGAAAATAGAAGTTAAATTGGTTTATGAAAGCTACCGTCTAAAAGCTAGCCCTTTGGCCACTAAGCATATGTATTTGTGAATGTGTGTAAGCCATGCAACCAATTATCAGAAATCTCAAGTACCAGAAGCTGACGCGTGTAGTGATTGAGCAGAAGATTCGCAAAATCAGGGGGGCTATAGTAGAAGCTGGAAGAGTAGACTGAAGGCATGAGGTAATTGTTGATGTAGTCATTGCTTCCAAACACTAAAACAGCAATAGATTTTCCCAGGTACTCGGTGAAATTTCTTCCACTCATCAATGTTCTTATTTGATTCAGTGTTGTCTCAAAATTCAGGACTTGTTGGCTTAGGCTATACCTTTGTCCCTGTATCCACAATCAGGACCTTATATACGTATCATAAAATCATGTAAAATCGAATTTCAAGTCACAAGTTAGTAGTTCAATTTGTTTCAAACAGTGTCAAAATGCTCATGCACATCTGTGGGTGAATTACGTAGTGTTGCCCTGTCTCATCAAGGATGCCAGCAGCTGCTGAAGCATAATTCACTCCGCCAAGTATAGCGGGCCCAGCTGTGTTAGGATCTGCAAAGGCTGGAGGATACGGCACTCCCAGATTCTCTCCTGCGAACAATGATGTGATGAAGCATGAATAAATAAGTGCAAAATAATCAATTAGAACAGGTTAAGCTAGGCCAGGCTTAAAGTCTCATCGACAATACGAGTACTACACTACCATGAAGAAAACATTAATGGACCGGCGATCAATATTCTCTTGGCGAATCTAATGCTGTGATAGCGCCATAGTAAATTACCAAGTATATCAACGAAGGTTTTCCCATTGGAAAATCTCCCAGTAGGGCCAAATTTGGCAAAATCAACACCGTAAGGGAAGTAATTGGCTTTCGCAATGCTGCTGAGATAATTGTTGTTGCCAACATCAACCAACGAATCTCCAAACACAAACATTGCTGGAACTCTCTCAGACTCGAGAGCAATCCCATTTGAGCAGTGTAGGAAAAAAACGATCAAGTTCATAAACCAAGACCATTTAATGGCATTAGCCTTCATCATCATTAATTTTACCAGCCACCTTCAGTCTGGTATATCTTCAAAGCAATATAAATAAGAGAGATTAAAGTTAAGGGACACCCATTGATTTTTTTTAGTATGAAACGTGTTCTAGACAGTATAAAGGTGGTAGTGGTGGAGGATGTGGCGGAGATGAGAAGCATGCATAAGAGTTTGCTCATGTTGAAACGGCTACGAATGTAATGTCAGAAAAAGTAGTAAATCACATGAAAATGCAACTTTAGTCCTGGATTTGAGTTTCCCTTTTCAACGTCTGTTGCCTTTTTCATCAGCTTTAGTCTGTCGTTAACATGAAACGTCATTTTTGGCTGACAAATTGACCGACGGTATTTCTTGTCACAAAATTCAATTGCAAATCCCGTCGATAAATTGTTTTGATAGCATTAAAAAAATACAAATTAGTACACTACTGACAAACATAAAACTCCATCGGTTATTTCATTGTTCCACCATGTCAATTTTTCTCAGAGAATTTCTGTGTGTTTTGAGGAAGACGAATAGAAACGCTAACAAAATATTTTTGTTTATGATTTTATTGGGCATTGGTTGGAAAGACGTAATATATATTACTGACGGGTTATATGTGAAAGGTCTGTTAGTAATATTTACCAACTGATTACGGATAAAAATATTTTATCAGCTTAATTATTAATGATTAAATCAATAATAAAATTACTAATAAATAGCTGATAATATTATTTCATCGATAAATTCATTAGATAAATTCATTAGAGATATATATTTTTATCAATGGATAAACAACTATAACATTGAAAAAATATTCCATCCGTCTAATTTAATTTTCTCGTGGTGAATTAAAGTTCAAATATTACACTAGCTAGTTGTGTTTAAACTAACCATTTTTAATGACAACTTTAATCATGTAGTTGTTTCTGGAAATATATTACCTAGTTTTCGATCCTAATCATTTCTTTGTTGCTTCTTGCATTCCCAATAAACAGAATTTCAATTCTCACAGACCTCTCATGACGACAGAGCACAAATGAAAAGTTTCACATTGCTTGAACACCATAGAATGAAACTTCTACCATGCTATCTCTACGTTGACATGGAATCCACAATTATCGATTGAATGATGATACCATGAAAATGACGAATTTTGCTGGAGATAACATGTGAAAAAGGAGTTGGATCCGGGGAGCATATATAGTTGGATTGTATTTTCTCGTCACTATGGTGCAAGTTGCATGAAAACCATGAAAATGGCCACCATGCTGCAAGTTGCCTATAATTCAAAGCAGTGGATTATCAAATATTTTAGCAATTCACTTATTGGTGCAGAAAATAGGTGTAACATAACTAAGCTTGAGTAGATTTGGGAATTGGAGAAGGTTAGGTAATTGATCCCAATTTTGAAGTCCAGGACCCTTTGAACCATAATGTAAAAAGAAAAAAAAAATACAAAGAAAATGTTCTAAAAATACTTGGCCAATATCTACTTCCACCAATTCACGTATTTTTTTTCTTTTTTCAAAAGGAAAAATGATTTCTTTAATTTGAAAGCTAAGCTCATTTTTTACTACGAAGGCCACCCATTTTTTGTTAGTATGTAAGTTAGTTATATGTGGTATTAATTTTATTATGGTAAATATATTTAATTTTAATAAAAAAATATTTATTTTTAATATTAATTAAATATTTAATTAATGAATTCAATATAATCCAATATTTAATTATTGAGTCTATAATAAAAATATTTTGCAAAACAAATTATAAAATTATTATTATTATGAAAATCATATTGCATCAAATTATTATTTCTAAATGTTTTTAGTCAATTAGGTATCATGAACCGTTAAATTTGGCAGTTGAAAGTTGCCTTTTGAGTTGGACTTTTCAGGTTGGTGCAATGACCGCTATGGTCAATTGAACAAAATGGATCATTCTAGTGTGTAATCAGATATTAAGTGATCATTTTCATGTAAGTTTTGTCAAATTCAGTGAAAAAATAAAGCATTAAATGTCCTTGAAAAGCAGCACTATGATCAATCTTTTCGGTGGAAATTCTGAAGAAAAAAGATGAATAGTAACAAAAAATCGTCGTTATGGTAAAGTTCATTTTAGTCATTTAATTAATGATTTTTCTCAATTAGACCTCTAATTGGCTTAAAACTTTTAATTTTATGCAATCTTTTCTCTAACAAACTTTAATTTTAGCATCCTTTTCATATTAATTGGTTTTAAATTTATCCAAATTAACCCTTAATTGAACATTAAATTTTTAATTTTATTTAATTTCACCCTTGATTCCTACCAACTAAGCCCCTATATTTCAACGTCTTTTGCAGATTGGTCCTTGGTTGTGAATATTTTTTATTTAAGCCCTTAATTGACCCTAAAACTTTAATTTTCTTGTGATTTTGCCTTTGATTTCAATCAATTGACTTGATAAAAATTAAATTTGGTCTCCTAAAATTCTATTTTTCTTAATTAATCCCAAATTGGACTCCTAAACTTAATTTTTCACCAATTAAACCTCTATTAAAATTAATTTGATTAATTTAAAGTAGAATTAAATTCTTACATCTAATTACCCAAATTAATTTTTAAACATAATTTAACCTTTAATTTTTCCCATGATTAAATTATATTAGCTTATAAAAAATTTAACCATATCATTAGACTTAATTTTCATTCAAATTCATCCAATAATGATTTAATGTGACCTTGAATCTGCATTATTTCTTTAATTTTAGATACTATGGAGTACAATTAGGCTCTCGATTCTGTCTGAAATTGCAGCTTGATTTTTCTGTATATTTCAAGTCCTTCTCAGCCTATTTTTACCACTTTTCTAGTCTTCTTAGTATTATTATTTATTTTGATATTTTACGGGGAAGGAAAAGGAGGTAAAATTTGAGGAATAATCCAAAAATAGATTATGATATTCTAAAAAAAAAAACACTTGCATAATCTAGAATTAACATAATATTAAGATGTTTTATAAATTGCAAGTGTAGTTTCCTAAATAAAGTCTTATGTGAAGATGGAAAAGTTGAATAAAATGTATTTATAATACATTTAAATCAAAATTCATAAAACAAATAAAAAAAGCAAAAGGAAATAGAGAAAAGAAAAGAAAAAAAAATAAAGGCCAAACACGTGAGCCATATTGATGTCTTCTCCCAAGTGTAGGAGTGTCGAAGTAATAAATAACCCGACAAATCTGGGGTCGAACCACAGGAAGATTAATTATACAAATTATAAACAACAACAATAACAATAATAACAATAATAATAATAGTAGTAATAGTAGTAGTAGTAGTAGTAATAATAATAATAATAATAATAATAATAAAGAAAGAGAAGAAGAAGAAGAACAAGAAGATGATGATGAGAACTTGGAGATGAAATATTAATGTAAGGATTAAACGATGATAATAATAAATGTCAAGGTTAGAAGATCCAGTAATGGTATGTCAAACAAGTATAGTATAAACTCTTATTATTGA